ACCAAACCAAACAGTAATGGCAGCATCAGATAATAGTGATGATACGGAAAAAATGAATAGAGATGTACATGCACAAAAAAAGCTTCACAACATATATATTTCTTTGGCTAAACTTTGCTGATAATGGTTTAAACAGGCAACCCTGCAGGATCTGAAGTTCATCTGTACAGAAAGCTCCAGGCAACACTCATAGAAACCTGTCTGCTAACAGTGAGTTTATGTTGCCTGATCATATTCCCGTTGGGATATTCTGACTTTGAATCTCAACAGGTCTCTGAGAGTACTGACTGTTATATTGTCTGTGTTTTCTGTGTGTGTCTGTTTAGCAGCACAGTGCTAGAAGCTAAAGATCGGGCCGGCCCAGTTGTAACACTCAGGCTCATAAAACATTTAGAGCTGGTAACAAACAGGTGTCACTTTCTTCAGCTGCATGCCAGAGCTTTTCTACCCCATTAATGGCGGTGTAGGTACCAGATCTGCTCAGGGCCCTGCCCCTTCTTATGACGTCAACATATGGCAACTCCACTCGGACAAATTATCATTACCTATATTTGCTTTTATTTTACATTTCATTGGCAATCTAAAGTATCCAAAAGTAGAAAGCAATTGAAGGAAAGTACAGTGTTCTAAGACATTTAACACAGTGACACAAAAACAGTCTAAGCTTATTTTCATTATTTTTATTAAGATCTCATTATTTTTATTAAGATGGCAGATGTTGTTCCTACAGCGGCTTCAGAAAGGACCCAGAGAGGAGAGAGGTAAATATGCCCAAGGACAAATGATCCAAAATCAGCTCACATTTTTAAAATGAGTAGAAAATGTGCTAAATAAAATAAAACCCTCCTGGGAGTATTGTTTCTTTGAGGGATTTAAAAAATTTCTATGGGTGAATCATAGCACAGGACTGCAAAAAGCTTTTTATGACTTTCACTGCTTTGGATTTAGTAATAATGAACAGAACACAAGAACAGAGACCCTGTCGACCACTTTTTGTACACCCTTTCCCTCACGTGTACAAAAAAGGGCAGATGACTATTCTTCAGATAAAACAATGTGAAGGTATAGTCATCTCTGCCACATATTTACCACTTTTTGTACACATGAAGAAATGCTTACAAGTTTGAAGACGTTTCGCTTCCCATCCAAGAAGCTTTCTCAATTCAAAATGTCAGAAATAGCTTTGAGTTCGAGGCTTTATAGAGTGGACCAACAATAACTTTTAACATTTTTGGAATGACTATGACCTGGATGACTGAGAATCTTCACCAGCACGTGAAGAAATGAGTGCACAAAAAGTAGAATATATGGGTTGTTATACATAACAACCCAAAATGAGATTCATATGAAGAAACTGGAAGTTGAGGGGCATATGCCAGCACTTTTGAATGTATATAAGGATGGTCTGATTCAGTATTCAACACACATGTCAGCTCCAACTCAATTCCAATTAGCCTCCATCAGATTCACCTGCTTACCTGACTATCTAACCAGCTAGTCACTAGTGCCTGCTCATTACGTGCCACCGGTGAGTTTAGTCCAGCATTCCAGTTATCTGACTGCCTGATTCTGCATCCTGATTCTCTGAGCCTGCATGAACGGGACCTGTCATAGTGTATTTTTTTGGGATCTCTGACCTGTTTTCTGTGCCCTGACCTCATTCTAAGATCTCCCCTGGATTGTCTCTGGATCTTGGATAACGTGGCTCTGACTCTGGACCTGTTCTCAGAGCTGGAACTATATTTTCTCTCCTTGATCATTCTGCCTGTCTCTGCTCTCATGGAACTGACCCTATGCATTCCTTCTTCAGAAACTCTCAAAGTTTGTTCTCAAACACCAAGAAGGTTAGTGAGCCAGAATTTAAAATGAGAGTCTCCCTCTGTTTCTGTCTCATCACCCAATTGTTCAATCCCGCCCCAGAGGTTCCAGTTGCTGACTCTGGTGAATCCCTCCCAAACTACTGTAGTTTCTGTAAGGTTCATGGCACCTCTAGGCTGGGTCTTTTGCCTTTTTGCTCTCCTCTGCTTTGCTCTGCGCATTGCTCATTAGCTTGTCTCATCCCTGCTGCTATTTAAGCCTCTGGACCCCGGCCTTTGGTGGAAGATTATTCAAGCTTTCTAGTGAGACTAACTCCTGCATTCTCTTTGGTTCTGCCGGGTTGACCGCCACTATTTTCTCTTTTTGCCTGTTTCGTTTGTTCTGGACTTTTACCTGGATTAAGCCTGGTGCCGTCTCTGGACCTGTCTTCTGACCACGACTTGAATTACCCTTGTAGATCTTTCGGTTCCCATGCGTGCTCTGGTTGGTGAAGGATACTGCTCCTCTTCTCTCCTGGATCTCTGCTGCCAGCTCAGTGAAAAGAAAAGGAGTTCCACGCTTCCGGACAACACTCCTTCTTCTGGGCACAGACTGAACTTTGCCGGGTTAGTGGCTTTCATACTCATTATTATTTATCTTTTGAGTTTCACTGACCTTAGCCTCTATTGAGCCCACTGCAGCAGACAAGCAGTGGCACGCTTTATTAATAAACTATTTTTTGAATATATCACTGTCTGTCTCGCCTGAATTCTGGCTCTGACAGTTTCAAATTCCAATAAACTGTTAAAAAGGCCCTTGTGGTTATGGTTGAATTCTAGGTTTGCCGTTTTCTGGTCATTATGATGTATCATGCAAAGGTATAGTCATCTGCCCGTTATCGACCAATTTTTGTACACCTATTAACCTGTATAAAGAAAAGTGTCAGTTATGAGCCCAATCAAATACATGATGGTGTTAACCATCCAAAGTAGGTTTTGTGTATAGAAAGTGGAAGATTAGAGGCAGATACCAATACTTATGAATGTCTAAAGTAAAGGTATAGACATCTGGACCTCATCTTCCACTTTTTCTAAACACTTTTCTCAGGTGTACAGACAGTGGAAGATAAGGGAAAGATGTTCATACTTCTGCTTTTATGCTTTCTGATTCCATAATGTCAGAGTTTCAACCTGCTGCCATACTGAGGTTAAAAGACACACAAACACCATAGAGGAATCTTCCTTCTCATTACGACATACTGAATGAGGACGGACTATGAAGGGCAGATCTCTACAACCACCTTTGTTCCAAAATTTAGGATTTGAGTGCTATACCTTTGAGTATTTTTAGAGCTAGTACAGCTGATTTCGCTTTGTTAAACACTTTCAACCTGTGTCAGCTCAGAAGTCCAAAGTCACACAGGAGCCATTGAGAGCTTGTTCTTTTCGTCACGATGAGAAGAACGAGGTGTGTGAACATGGTAACTCTATGACTTTCTTTTTGCCAAAATATCGGAGTTAGGGTCTGTGCTTTGGAGATGATACTCAATTTCAAATATCACCCCCTCATTAAAAAATATTATAGATCTGTTTTTTTGTCTACCAGAGATCCATGCATCAAAGTGATGCAGGAATGCACAATAAAAGCATTATGCATCTACTGGAATGAAGATCCTGACAAGCTTGATAAGAAAGGCACTATTGATAAAGCTCATTTATATAGAAAACGCTAACCTGAACAATTTTGAAATTTCAGTGCCACGAAAATGTTTTTACATTTATTAATGTTTATTAATAGCAGTTGGCTTAATGCTATTTTGAGGAGGTTTATGTTGTCACAGAGGAAGAAATAAAAAACAGTGTTGCTTTGTCAGATTCATCCAAGGATGTTGGCATCATCATTCACCAGGGTTAATATAGCAATCCCACTGTTGAGTTTATTACCTTTACAATATTGTTACAACCAGTACAAAATCGAGTCAGAATCTGATAATGGATCATTAAAGTATTTCTGGGTCTGATTCTGATGACGTTGATTGATATCTTCATTTTGGATCAGTATCATTAGACCGTTAATGATTTAATCAACATTGACCAAGGTGTGGTACTGGTCTGATGTTTCTGACGATCAAAGCAATAAATGTACGAAATGTAGAATATGTAAATAAAACACGAGCACAGTTATGAGATAAAGGTGTCATCTGGTTCCTTCTCAGTCTACAACAACACACGACATGAAAGGTCTGATAACAATCAGTCACAACTCACAGTATTCAAAAGTTTCAACTCAAATATAAGCTCAGACTCCGTAGTTATTACAAGAAAACAAAAGAAATAACATGAATTATAGACAAGCAGCTTCTCTTTCTGATTTCGTATAATTTATCATTAACGACTATTAGCAGTTTACAACAAACATAAAATTATTTCATAAGGCAGAGAATGCTTCAAAGGTAATGGGTAGTTTTTTTGTTTTTGTTTTTTACAGTGTCCAGTGATTTTACTTTCACAAGTGTAGCAGTATGGCAATTGCCATATTGCTCCACTTGTTTCATGCATATAAATTGCTTTATTATAAATATGCAGGGAGTTTTACAGTTTATATGGACACTGCAATGTAAATAGTGCAGAAAAACAGAAGAAGAAAAGGAAAAAAAAGAAAAAAGAGAAAAGATGAAAGAAAGAAGAGAAAGGAAGGAGACAATGACAAAACATTTTCAGTCTGCTTCCTCGCCTGTAACGAGATGAAAAAAGAACAGCACAACCAAAAGACATGGTACGAGACAAACAATAAAGCAAACACCTTGAAACTATCGCTAAAGTAATATTATTAAGTCTGACATGTACTCTGTGTTACCTGAAGATATGGTAATGGGTAGTTAAAGAAAGCAAAGCTGTCCACACAAACTTTATCTGAGCCCATTTGTGTATTAGCCTAGACTTTGTGGTTTTAGGCTGATGTAAAGCATTATGGAGGACTGCAGTGCAAGCTAATCCAAGCAGTTAGCAGAAAGTCACTGCAAATAGACAGCTATCACAGGCTAGCTAACTGTCTACAACAGTGAGATGGAAGATAACTGCAAACACAACCAGAGAGTTAGAGAACTGATTTATATTATTGTACACTTAACGTACATGTAACAAGAAAAATGGTTTAAAAATGAATTGTCCCCAAGCCCAGAGTTGAATATCAAATCAATGTGTTTCAGGGAGGGAGCCACTGAGTCCAGATGAGGTGTGGATGGAGCACATTGTGGTCTTCAGATGTCTTTTAGTCACAGCTCTTAAACCTTAGCTAAGGTACAGAGGAGGAGCTGTCAAACTCTATGGACGCATGCTCCAAACCACCGTAACCGTTCATCTTCTTTAGCTTCAGCTGGTCGACATGGAGAAGACCCTGAGTCTCCAGGATGGAGTCCTTCTTGGTGAACATCCTGCTTATCTCCATGAAAGTCTTGTTTTTGGTCTCTGGGATGACAATGTAAACGTAGACAGCCACGGAGAAACAAACTGTGGCAAACACCAGGTAGCAATAAGCCCCAGCGGACATCTGAGGATTGGATGTGGTGGATAACCACAGGGAGAAAGAGAGAAGAAGAGAAGAGAGCAACAATTTATTTCAGTTTAGGATTCATGAGACTGACCAACAGAGGGTATATCAACTTAGTGAAATATGAAAACGTGTTCGGGAGTCAGAGTCAGGAGATCAGAGGTCCGAAGAGGTATTGGGGAAATACAGGACGGAGTCAGGATTCATTTCCAGGTTCGGTTCACAGACAGGCAGAAATCCAGCAGGTGTCCGAAAACATGTAAGGCAAACAAATCGGAACGGGAACAGCCAGGCCCAGAGGTCCAGAGGCAGAACAGGTCAGGATCAGGCAATCAGAAACACTATGGAACACTAGAGAACTCTCACCAAAGGCTCGAATAATCTGGCAATGATGACTGGTTGAAAGCTGGTTAAATAGAGGCTGAATCAGATGGATCTGATTAATGCTAATTATAATTGGGTAGAGATAGACAGGTGAATCGAATGAGTAATCAGACCAGTCATCAGCGCCAAGGTCATGAAAAAGTGTCCATTTGAAAGTGACCCTTCAGTAGAACCTAGAATCACCATCAGACATCCACTGATCAGAAAACCAAGGACAGCTGGGTCTGATTTAATCTCAGACCAACTGCAGCTGTTCTGGTCCTGGCCTCAGAGATTTTCTAAAGAACCACCGGCTTCATGGAGACCAAGGAACCCAGCAGACAACTCAGGGAGGAAGCTCTGGTCCTATTTAAATCGTAGTTATATTCTAGAACAATCCCCAAGCTCTGCACATCTACCAAAACTCTGTTCAGGTCATCATCTGAACGTGGAGAGAGGATGGGCCACCTGTAGACCTACCAGGACTTGGAGCACACAGAGCAAAATAAAAACAAGGCAATAGTTAATCATTTAATATATCAAGAACCAATCAAAACCAGTTCAGGGTCAACATATACTGATCAAAATTAGCCTACATCTATATTACAAATAAAGTACTAAAAATGGGGCAGATTTCCATGAATGCGTGGGTTCTCTCTGGGTACTCCTGCATCCTCCCCCAGCTGTGCCATAATTTAGAGCTGCAACATGTCTGGAGTGCAGAGAAGCACAAGGTGCTCAATACTCAGGGACCTGGCCAAGGTAAGGAAAGCTGAAAAAAGGCCACCTTTGAACAAAACACACAAGACAAAACGTCATGATTGGGCCAAGAAGTATCTGAAGACTGATTTCTCCAAGGTGTTTTGGTCAGTTTTAGGTATAGATAATGATCCATTGAATATTCCTTGCTGACTGGACTTTTCCTTTTAAAAGATTGTTAAATCATTCGTCATTTGTCCTCCTTATGTTGCTCTATGTAGCAGCGTTGACTTCTCCTCTGTCCTGAACTCCACCAGACATCAAATCTCCTTTGTTAACATCCACAGCTAGGCCCAGCAACCCATCGCCTCTACCAGGCTCTTGAAGACTTTCTGCCAGGTATCTATCTGGCTCATATCTACGGCTATCAGTCTTAAAACCCCTAGCAGAGTGCATGGTGCTGACAGACCAGACCCCGCTCAGGTGCACTCTGCCCGGGGTCCAATCCCAGCTTTGTCATGAGCGGGGGGGGGGGGGGGGGGGGGGGATTTACCATTAGGCAATACTAGGTCGTTGCCTAGGGCCATATAAACTCTGTTTACATGCATGGTTAATACAACTATTCCTTATTTGTGCACATTAATTATGTTTCTAATTATACCATCAGAACGCTTATACTAATAAGTGTGTCTCAGCCCCCCCACCCTTCAGTGTCCACCATATTGGATCAGTCCATTTGCTGCACATGTTCAGAAAAATCCAAACAGACAGCAGCAAACCATTTGGAAACAAACGATCCGTAGAGCAGTGTTGCCAACTTAGCGCTTTAGTCGCTATATTTACCGACTTTTCAGACCCCTCTAGCACTTTGATTTCAAAAAAGCTCCTAGCGCCAAATCTAGGGACTTTTTTCTGCTACTGGAGACTTTGGAGACAACATACATATAAAAGCAGCGAACTCTGCCCTCCAGAGCAAGTAGATTGGTAACCCCGCCTCCTGCTCTCCTCTATCTTGTCTGCTGTCATGATTCATGCAGCTATAATTTCATCCAAATGAAAAATGGAGAACAGAGAAGCAGATCATGGCTTGTCTACAGTGAAAAGAAGGACTGGGTTATTTACTTTTGCCTTTTTGGAAACACAGGAAGTAGCAATCAGCTAAGTGAGCTTAGAGCTTGGAAAAAAAATCTTTCATTCCTTTAGAGACAGCATGAAAAGTCAGCTGAGTGCAAAACATAGAGAGGAAAGCAAGAAGAAAAGGGACAAGAAGAGAGGGACATAACCTAGACTAAATGATGTATGTCTATTCTATTAATATTTCTCTATCTGTATAATAGGTCTGTTTTATGTGTTGTCTCTCAATTCAGAGGGGCCCCTGCCTGTCTTTGCCCAGGGCCCCAAATATTCAAAATCTGGTCATGAGCAAAGCAGAGAGAAATGTAAACAGTTTTTTAACAGAGTTAAAAAAGTTTTATGTAACAGTTTTATGTAACAGAGTTTTTTCTGATTGTTAGATCAGAAGCGAGTGGCATGGTGTGTTGACGTCCCTACGTTGCATTCAATGGTATCACATGATTTAGCAGGTAAACCCGGCTCTGGTGTTCCCACAGCATGCCGATCAGATCCCAGGAGATTTTAACGCGGGTCGCGTTTGACCCGGGTAGACACGAGTCAGTGAGCTGTTCCCACAGCTGCTAAAAGCCAATTGTTCCCGGGTTTAAACAGGTTTTTCGGCCAGTAGGAAAGGGTCAATAGATTATTGGTCTCTTAACACTTTTTCAAATCGAGTCATCAAAAATTCATCAAATTCATGACTCGAGTCAAAGTCATGTACCTTGAGTCCACACCTAAAGTTTAAGGTGCAACCCCGTCATTGTTAGAATAAACATCTTAATAAAAAAAAAAAAAAACTACATTCACCCAAGTAATCACCCATGGATTCCTGCTATAAAAACCTGAACCCAACACCAGGCATTGGCATCAGTAAGAAGCAGTGGAATTAAACCCGTATCAGACACTGGGTGCTCACCTGTAGGAAGGGGAAGACGAAGCCCACGGTGAAATTAGAAAGCCAATTTAAGGAGCCTCCTATGATGTAGGCTGCAGGACGATGGGACTGTTTGAAGAGCTCTGCTGTGATCAGGAAGGGAACTCCAGCTGCAGCAGAGAAGGACTGAGGTCAGAGTCAGTGGTGTAGGCAGAACATTTTTATTAGGTTGGCCTGGCAATAACCAATGTACACTGAGGGGGGTAAAAAGTGGATAGACACCAGAACCTCAGGGTCAATCTACATTGTTCCAACGGTAACGAGCACAACATCCATATTTCTAAATAAAGACAAACTATAGTTTCCTCCAGCCTTTGCTAACAAATAAATACATATATTTAAACATCCATCTAGATAAAAGTTCTATTGGATAAAATTCTTTCAGGTTTGAGTTTTGGGCGAACATCTTTTCCATCATAATTACTTACCTACTTTTGTCAATAACATCCTGCATTAAATTGATATTTAAAAGTACTAATATCTACATAAACTGATAATTTAATAGGTTTTTATAAAAATAGCTTTTATCTATTATTTCTGTGAAGACTCCTAGATGACTTGCAGAGACACATAATTTTCTCTTTACCCCATAAAACAGAAAATCTAGTTCTAAAAGATCATGAATTCTCCACTTATAATCTTTAATGTTAGTATATTGATGTGCATAATTAACGAAAGTGTTTTTGTTGTTAAGTAATTGTTAATATATGAAAAATGTAAATGTTTTGAATATTCCTTGAGAGTATTATTGCTGCCACAGTCTGTATTAGAGGGAAGAAAAAGGTAGGGGTGGCCAATAATTATATAATATATATAATTAAGACTGGATTGTTTAAAGAATATTTTTTATATATAAAAAAAAAAACTGGATTGTGTCAGGATTGTTTTATAAAAATTATTTCTTTAAAAACTGGACAGTTTAATTAAATTGGTATCCCTTCATTTTATTATGAAAAGAATTTATTAAAAAAACTAAACTTGATTGTTTCATTAAAAACTGAATTGTTTTATTAAGAGCTGGATTGTTTTAATCAAGAATTTGGTATTTCAATTTAAAGTTAGATTGTTTCATAAAATGCTGGACTGCTTAATTGGGAACTAGATTTTTTTTATATGAGACTGACTTTTTTCAGCTGGCTGGTTTGTTTCATTTAAAATGAGACTCTCTCCTTGTTAAACTGAACAGTATCAAAAAAACTAGAAAGAATCTTTAAAAGTGTAAAGTTTTATATAAAACTACATTGTTTAAAAAGCAATGATTTTTTTTCCCTTGGTTGTTTGTAAAAAAACAAGATTTTTTTTTTTAATCAAAAAATGTATTTTGTCTAAAGACTCAGTTGTTTCATTTTATTCCAAAAAAAGAGAATTAAAAACATTCCACTGGGTTTTGTTTCCAAGTTCAAAGACGTTTCGCTTCCCATCCAGGAAGCTTTTTTAATTCAAAAGATCAGAAATAGCGTTGAGTTCGAGGTTTTACACAGTAGCCCAACAAAGCCTTGTTTACGTTTTAAAAACATGCAAACTGGAACGGACGAAGGGTTTTCATCTTTAACAGGATTTTTTCGTATCAAGCTGGACAGTATCAATAGAAACTGGACTTGTTTTCCATCGAATTCTAGTAAGAACTGGAATGTTTCATATAAAACTGGATTTTGTCCTCTCAAACTAGATTATTTTATATAAATCTGGATTATTTCATTAAAAACCTGATTGCATCATTAAAAACTGAATTCTTTTAATAAAAGCTGGATATTTAAATTATAAACTGGAGTTTGTCATTTAAAAACAAAATTGTTTCAATAAAACCTGGATTTTTTAAACTGGATTAATTCACATATAACTGAATTGTGTCCTTAAACACTGGATTATTTCATTTAAATATTTTATTTCATAAAACTGCATTGTTCATATAAAACTGGATTCTTTTTATTAAAAGTGAGCTTTCTCCTTACAAACTTGATTCTGACATATAAAACCTAATTGTTTTGCAAACAGCTTGTTTAAAAAATATCTGTATTTTTTCATAATACTCAGATAAGACTCGATTGTTTTATTAAAAACTTGATTTCCTGACAAAAAATATGGTCGTTTCATTAAAAACAATTTTTTTTCTATGAAATTTAATACTTTCACTTTAATACTTTTAATACTTTTTTTTTTAAACATGGATTGTTTTGTTAAAATCTTGACAGTTTCATATAAAGCTGTGTTGTTTTGTCAAAAACTGGGTTTTGCAGTTAAAGGCAGACTTTGCTTGCAGCACTTTAATAAATTGGAAATAATCTCAGAAATTCTTTAACATCCATTAATCTGAAGGCCAGTTTAAATTCAAACTCTTAATCACACCTGCTTTTACCCACTTGGGGGCAGTAGAGCACCATAAAATACTTTTAACCCCACAGAAGTCCTCAGAGCATCATCACATTATTGTTCAAAGGGACTTGAACAATGAGGGCACCACTGGATGGTCACTTGAGGTTAAGACTTGGACCAAGCCATGTCCAACCGTGAAGCTCCGTGGGACATGTGGAATACTAGAGGAAGTGTCCGCTTTGATGAACCTGAGATGTAATAATTAATGATTATAATAATTGAGCTTTATTGATCTCACATTGGAGGAATTTACCACTACATTTATGTTGCTAGGTTTACCACACCGTGACATCACTGCTGGAAGATGGCAGGAGTGAGGTGCTATTATATATGGGCAAAAATGGCCGCTCCCAGACTCAAGGCTGGTTTATACTCAGAAACTAGGTCGTCTGCATGTGTGTTGCAGTGAACGCAAATGTGCCCCCCCGTTCCACTGACATTCTGCACAGGAGGCCTCTGATTGGTCAAATCTACATCCTCTCTACACTATGCGTATTTCCTGTTTGGTATCTTACCGGCTTGTTTTGTTTGTATGACCGCCATTGAGGAAAACGACTTGTGAAGATGGACCAGCTAGAAGAGCGAGGTGCGTGAGAACGCTGGGAGCCTTTTTCCAACTGGATCCCCGCTCTTTTTTGCCCTCATGTACCTCCGCTGTTGCACAAACTTGTCCCCACTTCCTCACCGCCTCGGCCATATCTAGACCCACAGCTAGTTCCTGATTGGCCCTCTTGTGTTGTGGCGTGGAATAACACAGCGCAGACCACGCTTTAATATTGGGCATAAATCTAAAATATCTGTGACAAGCTCACTGCGACACTCTGCTGAGGGAGGATAACCAGCTCTTCAGTGATCGCGACGAAAATTGTTGTTTTTATTTTTTCACTAATTAAGAGTAAATTCATTAAATCACTGTAAACGTATTTGTTTTAGGAATAGATAATGATTCCATTCCTTGCTGAACAGACTTTTCTTTAACCCATCCCCTTGGGGAGCAGTGGGCTGCCATTGTGCAGCACCTGGGGAGCAGTGTGGGGTGAAGGGTCTTGCTCAGGGACCCAGAGTAGAGGCTGTGGGGATCGAACCAGGTACTTGCAACCTTCTCAGAGCACAAGGACACAGCTCTAACCCCTAGGCCAACACTACCCTAAATCAGGGGGAGTGTTGGCCTCTGGTTGGATGAATGGATTAATGGAGGGTGGAGAACTTGCCTGGACCGATGCAGAAGCCGGCGATGATGCCGACCACACAGCAAACACTGATGTAGCGCATGAATAGTAGCTTAGCCTGTGGGGAGAACAGACAACATGACGTCCCAAACATATCTGATCATTTTACATCTACAGGTTTGAGCTCCATTTATGCTAAAGTCTCCATCAACCCAATGAGTTCATAATAACTGAACAGTTTTTCCTTTATGAAATAGTTCCAAGGATAATATGATATATAATATAATGTCAAACCTCCACCCAACTTGACAAAAGGTGGGTCTTGTTGATCTTGAAAATATGATTGCTCACACTTCTGTTGGTCATTTTTTGGGAAATTCTCGCCTAATTTGCATACCCAAATGGAAAAGCAAACAACTTAGGAAAAGCAAACACCTGCCTGGCAGCGATGCATGGTGCCAGGCAGGTGGCTGTTGTTAACAAAGCGGTGTGTGTGTCTCAAGCCACAGATCCCAAAGGGGAAAAAAAGGAAAATAGCTGATGAGAACAGAGGATTCAAAAAGAATGGAACGAATAATCTGCTTTCATCACCAATGTGGAAGGATTGTCTGCACGTTTGCTTTGGAATGAAACGTTTGTCAAATAATTAAGAGAGTTCCCTGGAAATGTCTTTCCCTGGAAATGTCTTTCCCTGGAAATGTCTTTCCCTGGAAATGTCTTTCCAGGGTAGGCATGCTAAATAGGGAAGGCATGCTAAATATGCAGCGATTACCAAGTTGGTAAAAAAGCGTGATTGCAGAACTTCTGAATAAATTAGAGGAGAGCAAAGAAAGATTTAAGAAGTGGATTGCATCTCCAAATTCCACTGCTGCTGCTAGTTTGGTTAGAAAACTAGCATAGAAAACTGTTCACAGATCCAACAGGTAGCGCTCTGATGCAGGGATGGAAACTTTCTTCCATTTTTTTTACCCATATCCTCAAAATAAAAACATTAAAAAAAATTATTTCTTTTTTTTGTTTCTATAATTTCATAAATTCAAGAAAAGCTAATACATTAATATTGAAAAGGAATATACACTTAAAGCACCAAATACCATACAGCAGAGTAGTCAAATTATGTAAAATTTGCTCCAGGACAGACATTTAATCATGAATGTTTATTATATACGTAAGCCCACATAGTCCTTCTTTATAGTGGGCTAATACACTTAGAGCCTGTGTTGCCATATGAGGCTTATAGAAGGCTTTTACATTTTTTTGGCTCCAGACAGATTTATTTTTTGTTTTTTCGGTCCAATACGGCTCTTAGAGCAGTTTGGGAGGCCGACCCCTGGTCTAAGCCTTCAACTAGTATGTGAGATCCAGTTCCAATCAGGTTATTTAAGAAGGTATTCCCTTTTATCTCCTCCTCCATTTTAGATGTGATTAATCTATCTCTGTTACAGGGATATGTACCAAAGCCTTTTAAAGTTGCTGTAATTAAACCTTTACTTAAGAAACCATATCCTGACCCAGATGACTTGGTCAATTAAAGACCTATATCCAATCTTCCTTTCTTATCTTACCACCACTTACACCATAATTAACTTTTTGAAGAGTTTCAGTCTGGCTTTAGAGCTCATCATAGCACTGAAACAGCTCTGGTGAAAGTCACTATGATATTCTCATGGCCTCAGATAATGGACTTGTTTCTGTGCTTGTTCTGTTAGATCTCAGTGCTGCATTTGATACAGCTGATCATAATATGAAAACAGAATCTATGTAGATGATTGAAGGAAAGTGGAAGAACTCACATGGACACCTTATCAACCCTGGACCTTCCTGTTATGAAGCAACCATGATAACATTTTAAAGTAAAGACCATCTTCCTGGATGAATTCCAGCAGCAATGGTAGTAACTCTGAACTCTTATGCTGAACCATGCTCATGGTACATTAGCTTAGATTTTAGAGTAGAACAACCATATGGTCTTGACTCAGAGGTGGAGTTTTGTTTGTGATGTTTATTAAAATGCATCCATAAAATGGTCATTGGCTGGTAAATGAATGACTTTTCTGAGCATGCACCTGTAAAACGAGTGCTAACGTGATTCCAGCGCTGCAGACCCCCATCATGGTGAAGCCTCCAATCATCAGATGCCTTCTGCCAAGCTTCTCTATGGTGAAACACTTAAGAGTGACACAGACCTTACGTTAGCTTCAACTATACATAACATACAATTATTTGATTAGATTATATAATAAACATAATTTATACATGATTTAATAATGATGAACAGACCTTAATAATTAACAAATGGTCTCTTAAGCATTTATAAATGATGGTAACTTTAAAGTTATCTATTATTTTTAATAAACTCCCACTTTATCCCTAGGATATGTTGTCTTAGCAACATATGTTCCCATCAGGGCCCTTTACAGTAGTAGCCAATCCAAATTTCCCCACTTTCCTTGATTGGCCTTGGCTGGTCCCCTAAGATTCCTTCTCAATCTTTTTCTTTCTGTCATGATTGGTGTACATTTAAGCCTGGTTTATGCTCAGAAACCAGGTCGTCTGCATGAGTCGCAGTTAACACAGATATGGCTGCCATTCGGCTGGCTTTTGACTGGTAAGGGCCATTTTGAATGGCTGCTACTGTATATCCCATAAAGATGCTCCTTAACACACAGGACCATGATATAAATGGGTATGCCCATAAGCCAATAGATTTTGGCCGTGTGAATTAATAAACAGAACATTTGCAGAAAATGTAAAAAACACAACTGAGGAATTCCTGACTTGTCTAATCAGATCTGGTCATTAAGATACAACCATCTCTTTTATAGCATAGTATGTGTCTTCTTTCCCTTTTGGTTGTCATCATAGTAAGTCTCTTTTTTTGTTTTTACCCCAATGAGTCCAGCAATGATCTCTATGATTCCTGTTCCTGCTGTAGTATACTGGATCTCCGGAGCTGGGATACCTGCATTTTCAAAGATGTCGTTGGTGTAAAACCAGATCTGCAGGGTAAATAATAAAGAGTAGAGTTTAGATGTAAAAAGTATGACACTATACATTTAATCTGATTGTTCAACGTTATTACTAGTGTTGCACCGATACAGATAGCAGTATCAGGCAGGGCCCTGATACAGCACTAGAATGGTGGTATCGGTATCGATGAGTACCAGCAAATATGGCACTGATACCATTTTGAGAGCCAAAAGTTTATTCAACTCTTGTTCCAGGTAGGCAATAAAAAGTTCAACAGGATTCACTTTGTATTAGTCTTTCTCCTACTTCAAAAAGGTAGGCAGCAGCTTGACAAAGCTATGATGGCAATTATTTTACATCCAAGTAGTATACAGTTCTTCATATATACACACACATCAATTTCAAACAGATGGTATGGTGTTGGTGTCGGCCAATACTGCACAGCAAGGTATCGGGTATCGATATTGGGGCCAAATAATGGCATCGGCACAACTCTACTTATTACTAAAAGCTTTGAAATAAATCAAGTGTGATTGTAAATCTAGTGTGAGTACACTGAGTGCAGAGAGGCATTGTGAGCCGGAGAGGTCACAGCATTGTCACGTCATCTTTTCTTTTCCTGAGTGGTATTATTATCACAGCTAATTGCTTGGCACACTGAGCTTTGATCAAAAGCTTTGGGATTCTTCTATTGTAACTAAAAACTGTGGATTTTTTGTCAAATTCCTGAAAACACAGATTTTCTTAGGTTCCTACTTACAGCATCAATCCCAGACAACTGCATGCCAATGTTGATGACCATCACACTGAGAACCTGCCAGCGGACTGACTCATCCAGCAACAGGTTCCACACCGACAGGGTTTCCACAGAAAGCAGGGAGCGCTGTTCCTCTTGCATCTCTTCAATTTCAGCCTGGATGTCACACTTTGCTCTGTACCATTTCAGAGCTGAAAGGCATCAGAAAAAGAGCTGAATCAAACCAACATTTAGTGGCAAATGCTAAACATAAACAGTAATGGTGTCCAAATATATATTCATTAGTATGCTTTATTTTTACATTTTATAGATACTGGATGTAGAAACAAATCATATCTATATTAATATGTTTTATTTCTACTTCCAATATCTATAGGAAGCAATATCTAAAAGCAAAAAGCGGGAAAAAATACTTCTGAATTTTCAACAAGTGAGCAGATTTCAACGGATGACAAACATAATCCAGTCGATAAACAGATCCTGCAGCTGCTGACCCAATATGTTAGATCCTAATACCTCATTGGAGGAGGAAAGTAAGGGGAAGATGGAGCTAATAGGGTTGACATGGAGATGTAAAGATAGCCGCTTCTTCAGCTAATTATAAATACTACTGTAGCCTTGCTACCTATCTGTTGCCAATAATAATCATGATAATAACATGTATTAACCAAACTGTTTACTGTTGACCTTCCTAGTTTAGATTCTAGACAGGATAGATGACTGAAAGCACTATTCAACAATAATGTACAGCTACAGTACTATCGTGGACTTTTCCATTCTATAACAGTGCAACTGCACTGTTAGTGACTGTAGTGCAAAGGGAACTTTTTCTACCAAGGGTGAGCAGATCCAGACTGTGCAGATTTGCCCTATGCCCTACAAACTGAAGCAATCTACTGCATTTTACTGGGTCAGACTATGAAAAGTGTTTATTTAAGAAATATAAGTGTAAAAAAAACAAAAACTAATCTTTAAAGCAGAGCCTTACTTCATGACCTGCCCGCCGCAATATGCTCCAGATAGAGTTAGACATAGCAGACAAAGGATTTCATTATCTTATACTAAAAATATAATGAAAAGAAAAGGAAAACACAGCAATAAAGGCCGTGGGACATATTAAATAGGTTGGCTACTGGCTGAGGCAGTGAGAAGTGATTCTCAGAGAGCGATCTGTTGTTTTTTCATAGAGGGGAGTGATAAGCCATGCTTATGCGACCTGAGTTTTCATGACAGTCTGAACGACGCAGATCCGATTTTTTTTCCAATGTGACCCAGACTATTGGCTCTGCAATCCTGAATCTGATACAAATCTGATCTTTTCAAATGCGACCTGTGTCTGAACAGCCAAGTCGCATTCATCCGACCTGAACGACATTACTACCCGACAGTGGTCACACTCCTGCTTCTTGCTACACAGAAGTAGCAAGAAAAACAACAACAATGGTGAACAATAATGAGGAGAGCAGTATTTATGTTTAGCCATCTTGGAAAGATTGAGTTTTAAGGTTGGGAAAGATCGTTAGATGTTCTCCAGCACTACCATCCATGTTTACTTTAGTAAACACAGATATCACTGTGTCCTACAGGGTCAGGTCAGACCTTTAACTGTCTTTTCAATAGATATCAGACTACTTATACCTCAGTAAACCAGCTGCAGGAAGAAAATGTATTTCCAGAAATGGCATTTCCCTCATCATAATGAAGCTAGGCCTATTTCAAATCCTTTCATCCTGCTTATGTTTTTGTTTGGCTAGATGAGCTGCGAGAAGACTTTACCAACCTGTGATTGTGGCATGGATGTTGTTTTTTTCAATCAGCAAGTACCTAGGGCTCTCCGGGAACCATGGCAACAGCAGCAGCTGGATGAAGGTTGGGACCACCACCACTGAAAGAAAGAGGGGCCAATACTCCTCCTGTAAGAGTGGAAACAGTGCCGATCAGAGAGCCGTGGGTGTAAGGAGACTGATGCTAAGACTGACTGACTGAAGGAGCAGAGAGGAATGCTGTCGGCAACAGAGGTATTTAAAGCATCATGTTTATTACTCCAATATAAATTCCATTGTTTAAAAACACTCTCCAGAAGTTAGAGGATCAACTTAAACTTTTTACTCCTGTGAAAGAGTAAAAGTAGCATTTTTAAGACTACTTAAAGTATAAAAGTAAAAGTAATGCAGTAAAAAATGTTAAGGGTGGCAGCTTTACTGCACTACCCTATCAAAGGAACATTTTCTACAATTCTGCATGATAACTTCCTTAGCATTAATTTTCTTAGTTTTATAACTAATGGTAACAGTGTCAAATTTAACTTTGCATCATCTTGAAAAAGTATTTATTTTGGTATGTGGTGAACAACAAGTTGGAGCAGCACCGAGTCCCACAACATAACAATTAATCGTCTGGATGAAACTAATGACTGTCAGGTTAACTGGTTTCTCTAAATTCTCCTCAGGTTTGAGTGTGTGTGCATGGTTGTCTGTCTTTGTGTGTCTCTGTGTTGCCCTGCAACAGACTGGCGACCTGTCCAGGGTGGACCCCGCCTCTTGTCCATAGACTGCCAGAGATAGGCACTGGCCCCACCGCGACCCTGACAAGGCATAATGCTACATTCACACACATGTTTGTCCAAGTTTAGTTCTGATGCTCGGCTGAAGCATCTTTGCTGCTCTAGCTGTACAGTCTAAAAGTGGGTCTGATGCATTTTGGGCAGAGCTACCCTATCCTTTCTTTGCCAGTAACAATGGCGGATGAAATCCAGAGAGTCACTTGGCTTATTTTAATGAATAATGCTACGCTCAGACCACAAGCACTGGAAGAGCCAAAAAAGCTTCTGCTGCTTTATTTTTAATGCTTATCCAGATTAATGCCAGACGTCCAGTAAAGTGTGTCCAGATGCGTCTTTTTTTTTTTTCTTTTCTTCTTTTTTCCCCCTCTTTCTATGTGTATATATATATATATATATATATATATATATATATATATATATATATATATATATATATATATATATATATATATATATATATATATATATATATATATATATATATATATATATGTATATATTGAGTAAACTCAGCAATCATGTTTCATAATCATTTAATACGTATCAGAGCATGTGAATGGAGTTCCCGCAGTTCCCACTCAGGAGGATGTTCGCTCATTCGCTCTGACGCTCAAAGTTGCGCCGGGACTCTCAAAATCTGCTACACGCTAACCTTAATTTTCCAGCTGCTCCCACGAAATCGATCCATGCTCGCTCAGGTTTTCAGGAGAAGGCATTTTCTGACACCTTTTCTTCATGTACAGTAATTATGCCAGGGCCCTGAGACACATGGCGTTTGGTTTAATGATGTGAACGATACATGTGTATTGTCTTATTTAACTGGCTGTTAAATTATCGCACTGTTTCCCAGCTGTGAATGTAACGCCCCGCTCCATTCATGTTGCCCCGCATTTCCTAGGTACGGTAATTATACATTTTTTTACTAGACTACATTAAAAAAGGTCACTTCACATCCCATTGCAAATTAGATAATAGTGTACATGTATGTGATTTATAGTGTACATGTATGTGATTTATGTTCAAAAACAGGCTCTCCACAACCATCACTTTATGTAAGCCCACTCTGTATAGTTAAGAATAGTTATATCACACAGAATGCAATCCTAATCTCTGCAATTCCGTGGTAATTTGAAACATAGGCTAGAACAGATTATAGGCACAGACTATAGCATAGACATTGGCCCAGGTTTTAAGTTAAACATGGATTTAAATAAAGTCAGAGCGAACTGGAGCGGAGCCAAATCCTCACTCCGGCCTTTGAATTTAAAACTGTTCTGCGCTCCACCAGATTTCTTCCACTCTGCTCCACTGCTCGCTCCAAGCTCAGCTCTGCTCACATGATATGTATGTATTGGCAAGTGTTTTTTTTTTTTTTTTAAGTGTTAGGGTGATCTCTTCCCAGGAAAGGATCGGAAAGCTTGAAAGTGTAAATGCATAGCTTTCCTTTACACCTGTTGAGTTTTTCTTTAATGGGTTGCATTTTACAGCTGGTTGGGTTGATGTCAGGAGCAGCTGCTGTAGGCTACCTTTCCAAGAAGCTCATGGAGGCCGAGGATCTGGGCGGCAAAGACCCCTGTCCCTATGAAGATACTTGGAACAAGACCAAGGAATCCTCTTAGGTTTTTCGGGGCTATCTCTCCGAGGTACATGGGTACCACACTGAGGGAGATCCCTATAGAGACAAGCAGAGAAAAGGCCACATTACAAACAAATATATAGGCTGGTCTAACAAAAAACATTAAGAGTGAAAGCATAACTCAGATTACAGATACTGGAATGATTCCTTTGCCTCCCATGGTTAGGATTAGGCATGCTCTGCTAACAGTTAGGTTCAGGTTAGAATTAATATAGAGTGTGTAGTAGTAGATTCATGGTACTGGTAATGGTAGGTTCTAGTATCAAATGATTGAGGGCTGCTAGATTGTTTGATTGGCTTCTTATAAAAGGGTGTGGCCCTCAGAAGAAGGTAGTGAGCAGTGGTTAGCGCTTTCTGTTCGCCCAACCCATGTCATGTTCTGTTTAAGTTTTCTCTTTGAGTTTTCCATTATACTTTGATTCATGTCTTTCTGTTTTTTCTAGTTTATTGGTTTTATTTCCATTTTGTGTTATTCAAGCAATTTTTGATTGTATTTGAGTTCTTAGGTATTTCTCGTTTCCCCTCTTGTGCCAGTTTCCTTTTCCCTAGCTCCGTTCTAGATTCCTCTGTCCACACCTGCTCCCAATCTGCTGATTAGCCTGGTCTTTGCTCAGTCTCCCATTTATACACCTCATGTTCAGTCACTGTTTGCTGGTTCCTTGTTGTTGTTAGTTGCTTCCTCATATCTTGTTCCCCACTTGTGTTTTCCCTGATGTTTTCTTTTTTGTTTCTTGTTCTTTGTATATTGTATTTTTGGATGTCTGCCTCAGTTTTTAATTAAACCAACAAGAACTTTGGGTCCTCAAGCAACCTCACCCCCTAGTTGACACCCCAAGAGATCTATGAACTCAGGTGGGTTGAAGAGCTGTTGCCAGTAAAGAAGTTAAGTAGAAGGAGGGATTGTGAGAACAACATCTAATCTTTATGTTCTTTTTATGGTTAAGTACATGCTGCTAATGGTTATGTTCTGGTGAGGGTTAGGTATGCACTGGTTAAAGTTAAGCTTAGGTTAGGTACTGACTGGTTAAGGTTATGTTAAGGTTAAGTATGCATTCAGAATGAATAAGTTCAGGTTATGGTTAGGAAAGCTTTAGTAATTAAAATAATTAAGTTTTGGGTTATTGTCAGAGTTATTGTCAGGTCCGGTTGGTTTCAGCAAATGGCCACTCACACTGAGCCTGGTACTGCTAGAGGTTTGTTCCTGTTAAAAGGGAGTTTTTCCTCTCCACTGTCGCTAAAAGCATGCTTAGTGTAACGGATTGCCTTCGAGTTAATGAGTTGATGCAATTAACTTTAAATCAATTTGACTGGATGATCTGGTGAACTGTTAAGTGCCTTAAGATGACATGTGTTGTGAATTGGCGCTATAGAACTGAAAAAAAAGCTGAGTTAGAGTATAGTAGGGGTTTAATGAAAATAAATGTGAGTCTTCTCTGATGGTTATGACTCAAAGCAAGGCGAGAACAGGTGTGCATACCTGAATGTATCCCTGTGATGAAGCGGCCAAAAATGACCATCTCAGGTGACCCACAGATTCTGCTGAAACCCATGAGGCAGCCAGCGATGAATACCAGAATGGTCGTTTTGACTATCGTCCCCTTCCTGAAAAAACCCCCAGAAACATTCAATATTGTGGCATTCTCTCTGCTTTCCAGCTTCTTCATTTGGTACCACATGTTACTACCAAGTTGGACCCGTTTTCACGCTCAGATGTACCAATATTTTATTTCGCTTAGATTGAAGAAACAGCTGGAAGCATTCCTCACTTGGTTTGGTGAACACTGAAAGTATTGCATCCCAGTCACAGTACGGGGATGTCATTGTCTTCTTAAGTTAACAGGTTAGAGATTTTCTGATCCCCTTGTTTCTGTCACCAGTACGACAGAAATCAGGAAAGTAAACAATGGAGAGTGACATGTAAGGAAGCCAGGGCATAGTCAGTGTGCATTATTGTTTTTCTCTATTATCTGTCTGAATCCCTCCTACTGGAGCTGTACCATGTTTATCCAATGTAAACAGTTGTTTCTGCTTGTTAGATCAGAAGGGACTGGCACAATGTGTTGACGTCTGTACGTTGCGTTCAATGGTGTTATGTAATTTAGCATGTCAACATGACTCTGGTGTTCCTACAGCATGCCGAACAGAGCTGAGGAGTTTTTAACTCGGGTCGCTTGCCTAGTCATTTGATCCAGGTACACACATATCAATGAGCTGTTCTCACTGCCACTAAAAGCTGATTGTTCCCGGGTTTAAATGGGTTTTTCAGCCAGTGGGAAAGAGGTATTATTGTTTACAGTGTTGCCTCCATAACCCCTGTCTGTTAAGGTCTAAGTTGGGTTTTGCATATAAGGAAAGTGCCTTTAGCCATAAATACATAATAAAGCAGCCATCACAAGTGATTTCTTTTTTTCCCCTAGAATCTGAAATCCTTTTTTATTCCTACTCTTTTTAATTGGCAACAAAAAAATAAATAAATAAAGTCAATAAAACACCACAGGAAAAATCCAACAATCCACCACGCCATTGTGGAGTTGTATATGTTAAAGTATGATGTCTGCAGACAGTATTTGTAAAATGATTTAACATTTAAATATGATTTCCCTGCAACTTTAAACAATTTTATAATAATTTCAGTTAAAAGTACTTCATCAAATGCAGTTTAATAAGCCAGTCTTACCTTCCAAAGCGAGTGACCAGCATACCGACAATGAAGGAGCCCAGCAGACCTCCGATAGCAAAGACCGACACCGTTAGAGAGTACATGAGTGTCAGGGTCTCCCCACTGAGTCCTGTCCCATTACGAGTTAAAACAGTTTGGTTGTAGAAGTTCTTGATGTACTAACAGATCAGAGGGGAAATAAAGTAGGACTGTTAGAGTTCAGATGAAAAGACCAAACACAAAACTGAACAAAATAGATGAGTCATTTCTTCCCTTTAATGTTGATCATGTGCTTGTCAGAGAGGACATGCACCTAATCACTTTTAGTAAATGTACATTGGTTAGATTGTCAGGGATGATAGATAAGCAAACTTACTGAAAATATTCATTTTCTGTTATGGGTGTTGTACATTTATACAGGAAATACACAGATTCAAGGACCTGTGTCCAGTGGTGGAAAGTAACAAAGTACATTTACTTGATTACTGTACTTAAGTACTTGAGTATCTTTAATTTACTTGAGTGATTTGTATTTTTGAATACTTAAGTATTTTCAAAAGTTAGGACTTCAATACTTTAACTTTAGTAGATGTTTGACTGATTAACTTTTACTTGTAGTTGAGTAAGATTTGACAATGAGTATCAGTATTTTACTCAAGCAATACTGTTGAATACTCCGTCCACCGTTGCCTGAGTCACATGACCAGCAATTAGCCTGAACCCACCACACAGTGTCTGTTCCTGACTTTAGTAAGTTTCTGAGTCTGTATAAATATGTCAAATTGACCAGTTTCAGGAGATTTCTGTTGGTTTGACAGGCCTAATTGGACCCTCTGAAAGGTCAGAGACTGCAAGATTTTTCAGAACAGCTAAAACCTTCTGCTCTGCATCCAAACTCTAGAATTCACCTCCACCTTATATTCCTAATACTGATACTTTACCTCCTCTGTTCAGGACCGCAGACCTGCACTGATTGCCTGCCATGAGTTAATATTGTTTATTATGATTGTTGACCACTTTTCTTGGGTGTTTGGAAAGGTGCTTTAGACACAATTACTAACAATAAGTATTAGCCTTATTATCATCATTATTATTAAGCCATAAGTTATGGCTGTATGAAGAAAAAAGTACCTCTGGGGGGTGGAAATACAAGATATTCCAGGAATTCAGGCAGACTTTATAAAAATACAAACTACTTTAAGTTTACAGAGGTTATGTTCTTATGTTGAAAGTTAGGAGTTTTCATTTTTGCAATAGACTTTAAATGTTGGTTTTAGTTGAAGAGAGGTATAAGACGTCATTCTACATCAATATATCATATTTGGTCTGAATTTTGCAAATCAATTTTAGAATTTATTCAATTCAGTTTATTTCTATAGCACCACTTCACAACACGTCATCTCAAGGCACTTTAAAGTTAAACCAGATTCAGTCAAATCGATCCAAAGTTTTCTATCTAAGGAAAATCAGCTGATTGCATTGACTCATTGACTCGAAAGCAATCCCTCACACCAAGCATGCTTGTAGCGACAGTGGAGAGGAAAAACTCTGTTTTAACAGGGAAAAACCTCCAGCAGAACAAGGCTCACACTAAACCAAGTTCTGCTGGAGGCAAAATCTAATTTATGATTACTAAATTAAAATGCATGTGAAGGGTAGTGATAGTTACACTGACACATAGTCCAACTGTTTTTTTAACAGGTTGAAACAAAATCAACCAGACATTGAATGTATATAACACTAATTATTTTCCTTTTATGTCTTTCATGACTGATATTTTACTGTCTGGTCACTGAGTTAATTCATGGTCAGATTCCAACAGATTTGGGATCGCTATAAGAAAAACACAGTTTGACTGACATCATGCATCGTGGATTCAACACTACGGTTATGTGCTGGTGAGGAATCTCAGTCATCCAGGTCGTAGTCATTCCAAAAAAGTTTAAAAAAACAAACCACTGGAATTTGTTTCCAAGTTGAAGACGTTTCTCTTCCCATCCAGGAAGCTTTTTCAATTCAAAATGTCAGGAATAGTGTTGAGTTCCAGGTTTTATAAAGTAGCCCAACAAAGCCTTGTTTTTGTTTAGAAAACTTGAAAAATTGTCTCTACATGGGGTGCCGTTAAAGGGAATTGTTGGCCTGCCTGAATCACTGAGGTCTTCTGTTCCCCCATAAAGGTTTTGGGGTTTGTCCGTTTCAAATTGCATGTGTTCTAAGCTACTTTAGCTGTGTTAGGATTATTATTATCGGTTATGTGTGAGTCTGTTAAACCCTAAAACCTGCCCTCTGTGTCAGAACTAATGTTTTCCCAAGTAGTTTATCTAATTAGGACAGTTCCTCTGTCAGGATATATAGTTATTATCTTCATTCTGTACATTGCAAAGATTTGAGAATGGAATTAGAGTGGCATCCTTGATTTAAGAACAAAGTGTAATATTTTGATAAGGCTGGAGCCAAGGATGTCTCCTCATTTACAAACGTGTAATGATTTAATGATGTGATGGTGATGTGATGAAGTGGCAGACTGGAGTTGTATGAAATATTTTTATATCTGTGATTCTGGGCCACTCCAACCAGATGTGAGCCTTGGTAAGCAGCTGCCTTCTGTAACTATAAGCAACTTCTCTCATCTGAGTAGGATTATAATTCCTGTTGTCATGTCTCCTGGTTTTTTAATACATTATGAAGTGTTATTTAAGGAGTTTGTTTTGGGGGAAAAAATGGAGAGAGAATGCTTCAAGGTGTAACCGTGGAGATTTCCATAACAGCTGGCATCGTTCTGTGACACATGATGCGTTCAAAAGATGTAGTAAAACCTCTGGTTGACTTTCTGTTACTTGCTGCAAAGTCAATGATACTGAGCAAGCAACTGTCTGCTGCTACATACTCATCCAGGAAGAACAGAATCTGCTGTAAGTCCATGACTGCATGCAACCAGCTGGGTTTCCTTAGATTAATACTGTTCACCAGTCTGACTGGATAATCTGAAGGAGACCTGATGCGACATGTTGTGATTTCGAGATTTAAACTGAACTTAATGTGAATAGACTTTAAGAGAGGATGTGTGTCTCACCGCAGCAGGGGAGTTGACCACAGCCAGGTTGTAGCCATACAGCATGGAGCTCCCGAAGGACGTCAAGAAAGCTACGGCTAACAGAGAGCCCGTCAGCTGCTGCAACAGAAGAGGAGAAGAGTGTTAAAGTGGAACACATCCATACACAGCAGCTTTAAATTGCTCATTAGTATCTTTCAAATCAAGTGAAAAAACAGACATCTTGTCCAAAGTGAGCTTGACCAATTTTACAAGCAGAAATAGTCCCTCTGCTCAAATAAACCCCTTTATGAAGTTTCTATAGCCACCTGAGAAAAAACCGGTAAAAACATAACATATGATTTCATATCCAACCAATTATACAAATAATATGGAATATCATGTATTAGTTAGTGCAGAAATGGTCAAATAAAGTCAAACATCTTTGTTTTACAGTTTTTATAAGCTGATTTGATTTGGTTCTAATGCTCATTAACTTAAAATCTAATGTTATCTCTAACAACAGATTCTTAACTGTCATTACTTACTATCCCCCCCACCACCACCATATAAGCAGATATCCTGTCTACTTATAAAACTAGGCTTAAAATTTTCTTTTTTTAATACGACCGGAGGCCCGACTCTGTTGTCCATTAGAAATGCGAATTGAATCTACCTGTGACAGAAGAAGGAACAAAACTGGTGAGTTTCTAAAAACCAGAAGAATGCACACCTGAGTTTTTATCAAACTCATCAGCTGGAGCTAAAGAGGAGCTGGTGGCCAATTTTTTTCTACATGTGCTTGTCAGGCGTGGAACTACTAACCCCTAATGATTTATTTTGTTTTATCTCTTTTGATCGGTTTGCTCTGTTTCCTAAGGTTAGTGACGCAATTTTTACTTGGAGTACCTCAGACTGATGCACTAAAATGGCCTAATTTAACCATGCAGACCTTGTGGATTTGACAAACATTAAACCAACCTGCAGGTTTATTAGTGGTTCCTAGAATTTCTAAAAGTAGAATGGGAGGCAGATCTTTTAGTTATCAGGCTCCTCTCCTGTGGAACCAACTACCAGTTTTAGTCCGTGAGGCAGACACCCTGTCTACTTTTAAAACTAGGCCTAAAATTTTTGTTTTTTAATAAAGCTTATAGTTAGAGTGGCTCAGGTTATCCTGAGCTACCTCTGTAGTTATGCTGCTATAGGCTTAGACTGCTGGAGGACATAGGGACCCCTTTTTCATCATTCTCCTTTATTCTGTCTCTTTTCTCCCACTCTGCAGAATCTGTTAGTTCAATCTCTAACGTTCTGCTCTCTCTGCTTTTTCTCTTAGTAGCTCCATCTGGTCTGTTCCTGTTTGGCTGTGACTCCATCCTGCAGAGAAATATCATCTGTGCTGCTGCCATCAACACCTTTGTTTATAGATGTTGGAGATCATCCCGTTTTTCAGTGTAGTCCTGTTTCTCTGACTGTGACTAATTGGATGTGCTCTCTTTCATCCTTTGACATGGGAGCTGGCTCAGAGCTCATCTGCCTGGCTGTGTGTTCCCTGGACATGGCCGCCTGTGGAGCTGATTGACAGTTGCCTTTTGTATCTCTGCTTTTTTTTCTATACCTGCTTCTGTCTCCTTGAACCCCAGTCGGCCTCAGCAGATGGCCGCTCACACTGAGCCTGGTTCTGCTGGAGGTTTCCTCCTGTTAAAAGGGAGTTTATTCCTCTCTACTGTCGCTACTAGCATGGTTAGAGTGAAGGATTGCCTTCGAGTCAATGAGTCGATGCACTCCACTGGTTTTCCTTAGATAGAAAACTTTCAACCAATCTGACTGGATGATCTGTTTGAATTGTTTCTGTAAAGTGCCTGGATGTTATAAAAATAAATTGAATTGAAAATTTTAATGAATTGAACAGAATCGATCCAATAATGCAGGAAGAAGAACAGAGAAAGCAACGGCATGACTAACTAACAACACTAAGAAATACACAAGACAGGCTGATAGCTGAAAACTGCCTGGCACAGACCTGAAAGGGTTAACTCAAAGAGGCAAAAATAAATGAATACAGTAGGATAAAGAATTTATAAAAAACTATGAAGAGGCTAAAAGGTATGAAGGAAATAACACCTGCAAAACTCGACACCTTCTGACCTCCTGAACACTATCTCACCCAAACATTTTCTGCTGCGTTCTGGTCAACCAAAGACGCAAACTGGGAGGTTCTGTCCCACGAGCTATACTCATTGATCTGTTTGATGAAGCAACTTTAATCCTCATCTTACCGAGGTGATTTTCCTTGATGATGGAAGTAGAATCTCTTCAGCCATTTGGGAATTCTGGTTTCTGGTCCAAAGCTGTAAAAACTGAAAAAAGCTCCTGTCTAAACAGCAGAGTCTGTCATCACTGAAGAAGCAGACGTCTTCCCACTGGCCCAAAAATATCAAATTCAGGATGAGTGGATGGTTGGAGTGGAGCAGCCTTCCTGATAACAAGCTCCCACAGTGTCATCACATGATGCCGAGCAGCGTGACGAATGCAGAGAAGAGCCTGCTGAGAGCAATTAACTCTAACAACATTTTAGAGGTTAGTGGGAACAGCATGAACGGAGGAGAAGAAGGAGAAGGTGGAGGAGGAGGAGGAGGAATAGAGAAAAATGAGAAATTAAAGTTTGAGCTTCAGATCGAGCAAATCCGCAACAAATAACCAATGATGGCATCAAAGAAGAATTAAATCGGGAGAAAATAGATCCAAGGAAAGAGACACCGCCGACGAAAGGCAGGTGACAAAGAAACCGGAGCAACAGAGGAGAGATTAGAGGAGATTAGGACGGAGCCAAATGTGAAGCAGAAATATTCAAAATGATTAGAGAGTTTTTACAAAAATGCATCCCATCACCTGGAAAAGACGGCCTCCACTCATCTTGTTGCATCTGAATCATCAGCTCATGTTAAACCTGAAATTATGTTTTCATAATTTTGATGTTCCATGTTACTCTTCATGTTGTCTGAGGCAGTCGTCTCCTGAAGACCTAAGATCACATGCTCAGTGCATTAATTCAACTTTGGCCTGATTAAATATCTGGCTGCTATTTTCCTCCGGGGGCTGGCACATGGTGAGATTAATTCAAAAATGCTTTGTGGTCATGTGTTCCTAATTTGGACTCCAGTAGCTGTGTCTGCAGCGGCAGCTCACTGGAATACAACCACCCGGCCGGCTTCACGCTCTCCCAAATCCCATGACCCACCTCCACCGCTCCAGCATGAAAGGCTGGCTTTGTTCCGTGGCTCCTGTGCTTAAGCGCCAACATTATCCGCACTCATTACCTACCTAGATATTTATTCATGGATCCACCAGCTTGTCAGCAAATGGACACAGCAATGATCAGAGTGTCAGCTGAGATTTTGGAAAAGCTGGAAACTCACTTCTAGAAGATTAACTCAGGAAAAAGAGGGAAAATTGTGGAACATACATTATATTTCCTTTGAAGAATCAGTAATGACTTTAATTAGTTTTTCTTTGTTAAAAGTTTATATTTCAAGTGTTTTCTTGTGACTTTTTTTCCTTCTCATTCAGATAATTTCCCTGACCTTAAAATTATCAGACTTTTTTCTTTACTGTTTGCTTCTTAATCATTGGGAAACAATTCTGTTTACATTTCTGTCAGATGTTACTTCAGTTCAATTCAGTTTATTTCTATAGCGCCAATTGACAACACATGTCATCTGAAGGCACTTTACAGTTCACCAGATCATCCAGTCAAATTTATTCAAAGTTTTCTATATAAGGAAAACCAGTTGATTGCATTGATTAACTGACTCTTCAGCAATCCCTCACACTAAGCATGCTTGTAGCGACAGTGGAGAGGAAAAACTCCCTTTTAACAGGAAGAAACCTCCAGCAGAACCAGGCTCAGTGTGAGCGGCCATCTGCTGAGGCCGACTGGGGTTCAAGGAGACAGAAGCAGACATACAAAAGGCAACTGTTAACCAGCTGTACAGGCGGCCCCGTCCAGGAAACACACAGCCAGGCAGACGAGCTCCAAGCCAGCTCCCATGTCAGAGGATGAAGAGAGCACATCCAGTTAGTCAGAGAAACAGGACTACACTGAAAAACAAGCTGATCTCCAACAAAGGTGTTGATGGCAGCAGCACAGCTTCAGTCATTTGAGAACCAAACCTAATTAATAAACAGATTTTAATCTGTTCGAGAAGGTTTTGAAGTTCAGAGACGCAACCCTTCATTCACAAGATACAGAGACACAACTCAGGCTTACAAAGCACGTCCCTCCTCTGTGCAACTACACCTTAGGATGATGTCCACAAATGCATCAGAGTGAATTAGGGTCATGTAGTCTAACCCAAAACAGAGAGAGATGCTGAGGCTCTTATGACCTAAGGGGTAAATAGCCCGCCTCCTTCATACGCATCATACCACCAAAAACCTCCAAAACATAATCAGGAACCAGACTCCTTCTAGCCAGTGTGGTGACTCCTACTTGCCTTGTTGCTCTGTGACACGACCGGAGGCCCGACTCTGTTGTCCATTAGAAATGCGAATTGAATCTACCTGTGACAGAAGAAGGAACAAAACTGGTGAGTTTCTAAAAACCAGAAGAATGCACACCTGAGTTTTTATCAAACTCATCAGCTGGAGCTAAAGAGGAGCTGGTGGCCAATTTCTTTCTACATGTGCTTGTCAGCCGTGGAACTACTAACCCCTAATGATTTTATTTTGGGTTATCTCTTTTGATCGGTTTGCTCTGTGTTTTTTAAGGTTAGTGACACAATCTTTACTTTGAGATTGATGCACTAAAATGGCCTAATTTAACCATGCAGACCTTGTGGATTTGTCAAACATTAAACCAACCTGCAGGTTTACTAATGGTTCCTAGAATTTCTAAAAGTAGAATGGGAGGCAGATCTTTTAGTTATCAGGCTCCTCTCCTGTGGAACCAACTACCAGTTTTAGTCCGTCAGGCAGACACCCTGTCTACTTTTAAGGCTAGGCTTAAAACTTTCCTTTTTGATAAAGCTTATAGTTAGAGTGACTCAGGTTATCCTGAGCTATCTCTATAGTTATGCTGCTATAGGCTTAGACTGCTGGAAGACATATGGACCCATTTTCATCATTCTGTTTCATCATTCTCTTTTCTACAACTCTGCAGAATCTGTTAGTTCAATCTCTAACGTTCTGCTTTCTCTGTTTTTTCTCGTAGTAGCTTCATCTGGTCTGTTCCTGTTTGGCTGTGACTCCATCGTGGAGAGAAATATCAGCTGTGCTACTGCCATCAACACCTTTGTTTATAGATGTTGGAGATCGGCCTGTTTTTCAGTGTAGTCCTGTTTCTCTGACTGTGACTAACTGGATGTGCTCTCTTCATCCTCTGACATGAAATGAATTGAAGTACCACCTACACCAGGCTTGAGCCTGCTGGGGCAGAAGAAACAGGAATAAGTTCCTGGTAATAGATCCTATTTTGGAGAAATTAGATAGTTCCAGTGAAAGTCGTTTATTACTTTACTTGTAAAGTATTACTTTACTTTTATTGATCTTTACTTGTGGAACATTTTTTCACACAATATACTTTATTTTCTATACTCTCATGATTTTTAGAGAATTGAATTAAAGAAGAATGGGCCCTACTAAAATACTTACATCTTACATATACTGTAAAATAATAATTTTACAAGTTTGTTTTATTAATTATTCTATGCTGTCCAAGTAAAGTGAAAAAGGTAAGTTAATACGTTATTACTGGATTACTGACACTAATAAAATGAGAACATCCCCCTGGTTCCTCTTCTATCAATCCTGGAGTGACTTGTTCTGCAAATCTTCTGTGTCTTAGAGGCTTTTCTTGGTAAATTGATCTTTTGCTAAATAAAATGCAATGGATGTTTTTCTTTTTGTGGCCCTCCTACGGGTTTGTGAGGCTACGATGGAGTATTAGGGCCAGGCTAGAGATTGTTTTTTCTTCTATTTCGAGAATAAATTAGTATCATTATGAAAAGAAAGTTGTAACATTACGAAAATAAAGTCGTTAAATTATAAGAATTAAGTTGTAATATTAAGAAAATAAAGTCCTAAAGTTACAAGAAACAAGTTGTATTTTATGACAATTCTTATAAATATTCCTCACTAAAATGAGGAATGTTGAGCATTATGTGAAGTTATTCTTTGGCTCTGGTTCGACAAATAAGGAAATCTTTTAGCACCAGGATCAAACTGGGCACCATGTCAAAGTTGACTCAGGGTGCTGTTTGGTGGAGCTGGTCAGCTGTCATCGGCTGGTCGGAGCTCAAACCTTTCGTTCTTTCTCATAATATTACTGTCACAGTCTTGGTTTTGTTATGTTTATTTAGAGTATTCGACTTTACTTTGCTCCTTGTTTTGGTGTTTAATTATTATTTTGTTGTTTTCTTTTTAGTTCCTGTTTTCCACGTTTTCCATTTGTTGTCCTCTGCTGCCCTCTTGTGTCCTCTATCCTTAGCTCTGTTTTCTGCTCTGTCCTCACCTGTTTTCAATCCTCTCGTTAGCCCTCTCTTTGTCTCTGTCCCCTTTAAAAGCCTCCCTCTTCAGTTCCTGTTTGCTGGATCCTCGTCTAACGTCTGTCTGCTTACCTCGTCTCTCCCTGGCTCCTAGAGTTTGGTTTCCCCTGATGTCTCCTTGGTTCTGGTTTGTTTGTTATTTTGTTGGATCTTTGATTCCTGCCTCCGTACCTGTGAACCTCATTAAACCCACCTAAATTCACCTCTGCCTACTTGCCTCTGCTTTTGGGTCCTCAATCCAACACCAAATCCTGACAAGTACAACTTTGTTCTCGTAATGTTACGACTTTATTCATGTAATGTTACAACTTTGTTCTCGTAATGTTATGACTTTATTCTATAAATGGAAGAAAAAAAATCTCTAACCTGGCCCTAATACTCTGTCATAGAGAGGTAAACCTGAAAGCTTTAAGAATTTCCATATTTGTGTTGGTTTAATTAGTCCTAAATTCCAATGGGGGGTTATTAAATTAGACTGAGCAATAATTGTTGAACTTGTGAGCAAAACATGGACTAAAACTGGGACAAAATCAGGAGGATAAACTAGATCAAACAAGGAGTAAAGCTCACATAAAAAGCACTAGATGTAGAGAAAACAAACCATTTGATGTCAATTTGATGTGATCCTACATGCTCAGTCCCATTTCTCTCACTTGCTCTTTGTGTTGTCTGTAGCACTTGGTTTTGCACGTTCATGTGTAAGGATAGTGTGTCCCAATAGTTATAAGAGCTAGGGGGAAGTGCGCTCCAACCCTTAAAAGGATCCCTTTAGACCGAGTGAGGTTGGGAGCTGACTTGGGAACGAAGTGGCTCCCAGAACTATCAGTGAAAGGAAAAATGCCGTCCAGCTGTTGAAAAGAACTGCACAAATGTACCTATAATTTTAGAATTAACCACGCATAAAAAAATATATATATATATATATATGTATATATAGAGATATACATATATATATATATATATGCGATATATATATATGTTGGTATATCTTAGTTAGACGTAAATACAACTGAATTCCTTACTGTTGTGTTTTACAGTGTTTACAAC